ATGGTATGTATCATTTAAAATATGTTTGTAGTTTATTTATTACTTGCTTGAGAGTATGTTAATTACAATAATTTTATGTATTTTAAACTATTTCACAGATACTGGATAATGATACTGTTTCTCTGTTGTCAATTGAAACACTTAAGAACTTGGGATTAAAAGTTGGAGAAATAGCTAAATTACAAGATGAATTAAAGAAAGGTATGCTTCTGTTGTATATAATTGATCTTAGCACCATTAGTAATTCACCTCAGTTTGTTTCAATGTCTAGACTAGTTAACTAGCTACTACCAGTATGATCAGACTTGTTACTATCGCCATCATATTACAGTATCACTGACAGTTTTTTCTAAAAGAAAAATGCACAGTATGAATCCTAACAGTTCCTGAACTGAAAACTGGGATTAGTGTGTACACACCTTAATTAAGCATTATGGGAAGTTTAGGCACATTTAATTTTTAATTGACTCCCATGTGCGAAGCACACAACGGGAGTCTTTGCAGTTAGTGTGTGTGTATGTGTGTCCGTCTGTTCCACTGCTATCTCAAGAACCATACATCGGTTTTTTGATTTCCTTTGATCTCAGCAACCATTGAGCTGATTTTGTTTATATTTAGGAGGATTACACCTTGACGCGAGTAGATGTGCTTCTGACAGTAATGACCACGCTCTCCCAAAAATATGCAAATTATATCAATGTATTTATTTGTTGCTATCTCTACCACCACCGTGTAAATTTTATTCATATTTGGTATCATTACACCTTGGCATGAGTAGATGTGCTTTTGGCAATAATGACCACACCCTCCCAAAAATTCAAATTAAAACAATGCAGTTATTAGTCCCCGTTCGAACGAAGTCCAAAAACGGGGACTTATAATTCGATCTCCGTCCGACTGGCAGCCATCTTGTTTTTTGAAAATGTTGTATTTTGGACATGCTTTGTCAGTTGTCATTCAAACTTGGTACATAGATCATACATCTTAGGATACATGTCCATGACGATTTATTCCGCAATT